TTGTCTAGAAGTGAATGAGATAAACAAACGGGGCAGGCAGGTATTTATTTTTGGTTTTATTATATACTAGATACCGTACTAGTTATAAACACAGACTTTACTACCTATATACAAAATTACACTTTCATCTTTTCTTCGGATCTTCTATTTAATTAAATAATGTCAAGTTAAAAGGAATGAGAAGCTTTAGTTCTTTATCATGTTATTACACTATATAGACATACTTTTAAATAAATTATTAGGAGCCGCTTTAGTTTTTAACCAAATTATCTTCGCATCTTGAATAATGAATTGCTTTACAGGCTTAAATTGACTAACATATGCGGCGTGATTAAGTGATGTAGTGAAGAAAAAGAAAGAGCTTTTAACGTATATAACTTTTTCAGTGATAGAATAATTTTTATCTATATGCTCTTGAGTGTATGTGTGCTTGTGAGAACGGTTTTGGTGCCATGTGTTGTACCTATACGTGCGGCGCCAACCTTGTCTGACCATCACGTCACCCTGCAAATAAATTTAACATTTACTTTGTTCAATTTGTGTTTTTGTCAAATTTTTCCGCCTTCTTATGTTATTTATGTGTATTATATCTTACAAGGCGTGACTCTTTATTGACGAATGCAACTTAAGTACACTTTTTTACACTAAATGTTTTCAATCAAGTACACAAAGGGTTTTTGAAATCGAGATCTGATTTTTCTATGTCGAAAGCCTGAGAAGTCCGATAATTGCTGTCAGTCTAAGGCATATAAAGAGCTAGATTAATTAATCCATTGTAAAAGGCAATAATTTATTAACCCTCCTTTAATATTTTCATTGGTACTTTCGAAGCAACTTATATTCAATAACTTTGGAGATTATAGACTAATGATAATTGATGCTTCAATTAGCATTTCACATGTTTTACATCAATTATTCTTAGCAAATATCTACCCATAGCCTTCTCACATTTTCTCAAGAGAGTAACTCTAAGACGGAACCATTTTAGCATTAACGGTTTAGAAATAATTGCATACTGAAATGTCTAAGTACTTATACAAATTATACAATTAGCATTGCTTGCTAGTAAACAATGAAATCGTGTTTCAAGCGCTTATACATCATTCTTCTTTTCATTGAATATTCATTTAATCTTGTTATCTCCTCTGTAAACATGCTAATCAGCGAAGAAGAATTGGGAGGGAGGTATGGGAAAGTCTTCTTTTCGACTTTACAAACATTTCTTCAAAATTCTTAATTTATAAATAACTGCCCGAAAAGCTGGATAGAACCATTCTTTTACGTTTTATGGGTGCCAAAAAAATAATACAGAAGAAGCGCGTAGTTTTCAGCTACGGAGCGCAGAATTACATGCTTTACATTGCTATTTTTTCCCTGCAATTAGTTCTATCGAACACCGACCAATTTGTAAATCTTGTATACCTATGTCAAAAAAATTCACAGATTTCACAATCCTTGCAACCATCGGAGAAATTGGAAATGATAACCGTATAACCTATAAAGCCAAAAATAACCCTTATTCACACGGAATAACGTAAACTTTCTGAATAATAAGTGGCGTAACTAACATGCTTGTAATACTATCACGGGCGATATGCGAGAATTTTAAATTCGAATTAACAAAACCCCTGCACACTGTTAAGTAAGTACCGTATCGACAGTATCCGCGACTTTTCCTGAATCTACCGATTGCAGTCGAGTACGATACAATCAACACTAGACGCGACACCACTTGTCTTCTTTTCTACTCGGCAAACCTGGTAAATTCGTAGTCGTACCCATACAAGACATAAGCATTTCCAATGCTAAAAGGCATGACCTAGCGATAAGGGGTCTTGCGGAGATTGTACGTGTAGGGATGGAATAGCTACGTTGCACCCTCATATTACGACCGGTAGGAGAAAAACGTAGTCTATCATTATCAAAAGCTTAGAAAAATGATATCGCCCCGGATTTGCCTTTGAGTATTATACAAACACTAAGACTACGATCAGGTTTGTTCTACAAGAATCATGCTCTACTTTTTTCAAGGTAGATTACATTCTTGGGTTTGCTATTTGAAGACCAACTAAAATGAAACCAATCATAGGTCGATGGTGTGGTTGCTCCACCACCTCGGGCTTTCTGGATCGTTTTGCGAACGTGTCTTAAAACGCATTAATACAGCATTATTTTTTTTATTACTGTATGTTACATTATACAATCGATACATTTTTAGCGCATTTCCATAAAAATAAAATAAAAATTGTGGCCACTTTGTCCGTCCGTCCATTCATTGGGACGCTACTAGTTATATCTCTAGAGCTATTGTTTTACGTTTTTCTCTATTTGGTTCGTTCGTAAGGTTACTACTGTAGCTGGGTAAGCTACAATGAAGTGCGAGTAGATAATAAGGGATCGTTAAACTTTTAAGGTTGGAAATAATTTAGTGTTAGTGATCGTGATTTTATTAGAATAATAATTTTTTTAATTTAATAATACGTTGGATTGGGGTTGTATGGAAGAACAGGGTCTTTCGGCACTGAATGCAGTCCCTTCCCCTGTACGTGTTATTTGTAGAGTTTTGATTTTTTTGGGCCATAAATTATATATTATTATTATTGCTGTTTATTTCGTTGGGCAGGATGAAATTTTTGGACAAGAACGGTCTCCTTTTTATGTAATTAACTTGGTCTATGTGACGGTATGGAGAATATTGTCATACGAGAAAGCGGTCAAGGTTGTTTTTGTTTACATTTTATTTAACGTAGAATTTCTGGGACTTTTGTTTGGCTTTATCTAATATGAATTGTAAATGCTTAATTTAATTGACAGGATTTATCGCCTTTTCTGTGTAGATAAGAGAGATGAAATTTTATTTCTTCCTAGAATTTAAGTCTCTTAATGTCTGATAACAAATTGATTTATAAAAATTATTATTATTATTCTACTACCTCTATTTTTTGGTCTAATAACGTACGTGTGAAGGGATAGTCTTTGTTGTCAACTATGTATGATTGGTTGTTATAATTTTGATTTTCGGAAGAAGGGTTTTCGCCTTAAATATCACGTGAAGAAGGAAAGCGTCGCTTTTTGCCAAAGTTTACGCAGTATTATTTGTTGAAGTTTTGAAATCGGCTTTACGCCACGTTTAGGGCCAAAGTGCGGCCAATTTAATTCAGCTCTTTGCTACGTCAACACTGAGTTACGTTTTGTAGAAGAATTTACCCGCTTTTTGCGATTTTTTTTTACCTTTTGGTACATTAATTACTAGATAATAGTACCTATTACAGTTTTAAGCTTAGGTCCATTTTAATTATTCAAAATTTAAGTAAATAATAAGTAAAGAGAAAGAGCTAGCTAGGTTCTTGTTTTGGTGTTTTGTGTACGGTCTTTCTGGCCTACGGACCAGTGGACTCAGCATTATATATAAGTATTATTATCCTCCCTACAACCCCCAGTGACTAAGTACTACTTGTTCGCTAACTCGAAACACTTGGTGGAATGGAAGTTCTGAAGCGACGAAGGGCTGAAGGCAGTTATCGATTCCTTTCTGTGCAAGTCGGTGGGAGAGTGCTATATAAAAACGCAAACAAAAGTGCAATGATCGTGATTGGAAGTACGTTAAAAAAATAGCTAAAAGTCAAAGATTTGGTCGAAATAAAATAATGTGTACTGTATAAAAAGCATTGACGGACGTATGTATTCTTGAGAAAACTAGATTGGGAACGGGCGTTCTCACGCGTTCCCGGCTCACTACCCCACCACTGGATGGTGTCATTGAATTTGAGTGGAGATGTGCTAAATATTTATATAGACCTCAAACCTTCAAAAATGCGCAAAAATCGAGTGAGGACGTAATATTGGCTACTGAGCCCCACCAACACGACAAGGTGTAACTCTTGGGGGGAGTTTATATTAAAACCTATAGACTTATTCCTATTCTTTTCTCATTTTTACGGCAACTCCTGCCCATTTTACTTCTCCTCCTGACCTAACGTCTAAATATTTATAATCTTTCATTCCACATTCATTGTTATTTTCATGGTCCCTTGGTTGGCTCTGTTCATACTTATGGCCGGACCAGAGCCACCAAAGTGACCATGGAAATAACAATGAATGTATAATTAAATATTATAATGGTTCAGCTAAAACGAGTAGGAGTTGCTGTAAAAGTGAGAACTTGATAATAGGAGTAAGTTATAAATGAGGGGAACCAATTAGGCAGACGGAGAATATAGTTAAATTTCAGAACATTTTTGAGTCAGAGAATCTGGGGCGAATTTTTGAACCAAAATGTCCAAACTGTTCATTGATATAAAATGTAAGTGAGTTACTTCGAACCACATATGTAGGTATGACACACCTCAAAGGAATGCAAGTGCACTTAGTAGATGGGTCAAACGAATCTTACTTTTTGTGCTCCTAATAATCAATTTCTAACAATCTAAATAAGTCAAAATTGGAATATACGAACTCGCAATTTTTGTTAGCGTTTCAATTGAGGAAGTCCAAGCAACAGCAATGAAATGCGACAATGGGTTCAGTTAGACGAGTAAGAATCTCGTCCCATTGTTTAGAATAAAGCCAAAAATTAGGTAGGGTGGTATTTATCCACGGGAAACGCCATCATAATTAACGGTAAGAGACGTTTACTATTATATTACTAATATTACTTTATTGGGGTAAAATCTATTTTAAGAGTGCACGAAGTAGGAATGACAGTGTTTCTACTTAAAACATTAGAAATCAACCCCCATTATACATCACTGACAATTAGCGATGAAAGTAATTTATGTATAAAAGGTTCGTAAAAGTCAATTTCGGACATTTTTAAGTTTATTACATACTTTAAAAAGAAGGAAAAAGGACGGCAAGTTATCTCAATATTGATTTTTACAGTTTTTTTTCGCCAATTATGTATATATAGAGTAGGAGGATCCTATTAAGGTTCCACCCTGGACTCTGGAATGGAGGATCTCAACATGCTTGAAGTAACTCTCCGCCTCTAATATCTTCATTCAACGAGCCGTCCGAGCCAGCTCTGTATTCAGAGAAACATCCCCTTAATACGCAAGCTTTAATTTAAAATCGCGAGTGCATGTGTAAAAAGTTACCTATCCTGAGTAAAATTCTGTGAGTGAGTGTTGCAAAATTTTAAAGGAGAATTATGTCATTTCGCCAAAACAACAATCAGGATGTTTATCAATATCCTTACAATAATTCGCATTCGCCCTATGGTCATCATGCATATATATCGGGTAAGTTCTCGGGAGTTTTCTCTTCAACGGTACTCGTGTAAATAATTTTGAATTGAATGGCGGTGCATGCGGAACGTCAAGTGTTCATAGGTAAAGGCAAAAAAACAATTAGGAATCAATAGGTTCTTTAATAAATTTAGAAACCGTCGCAAACCGCAAATCATAAGAACAAACTGCTTCAAAAATAAATCAAACCTACCCTCTTTCAACTTTTTTATCTAAGATTTACCACAACAGAAAATCAGCCTTGTTTGAGTACTGGGAAAACAGTATTTTAGCAATTCCGTATAAGCATTGTTTTGACATAACACTACTTTTAATTGAGTAAATCCTACATGGGCGATGAACTTTATTATTATTACAAGGTGTTTCTATATGAACACCAAAAGACTGTACTAAATCTAAAGCTTTGTACATATCTTCAAGATGGGGTCTTGGGGGTTGCCTTGAAAGAAAAACGTTTTAGAACAAAATGTTTATTTCTTTTCGAAATATTCACCTTTTAAGTATTATACGAGTATTTCAGCAATGAGTGGAAACCATTTTCCTCTAAAGTTGTTCTCAGAATTATTCATAAACTTCAACGGCTGCTTTATTTGAAGAACATCGCCGTTAAGCATTTTTGGAAACAAGAAACTCGAGACACGATAGGGCTGGTGAATACAAATCATGAATTATTGCTTTTGACGAACAAACGGTTGTATATGATTGAGTTCTTCAATTCTCCAAAGGAATGGTTGCATCATGTCCAGTACAATTGAATAAACACGCGATTACTCTATCGAATGAATCACTTTTGTAAGATTGGGTTTATTTTGGACTACCGAAACAGTGCTTCATCCCGGTTCTTACGGGTTTCTTCAATAGTGCCAGACTTCTGCGAGGTCCAGGTGCTGAGATCTCAAACTCTCAGATAGACGGAAGGAATTCACGAAGGTTATTAATTTAATTCACTCAAACTGTTTCTAATTGGGCCCTTTTTGGAAGAATTAAGTAATTTGCAGCCTCTTATTCAATTAATATTTCGCGGCTTAAGTAGCAACCCTACATGAAAGGGCTACGATTGGCTTAGGGCTTTTTTATACTTCACAGATGGAAAAATATTGCTAGGAATTAATTTAATACATTTTTTTTATATCAACCTCCCACCGTATGTTTTACAGGCATTTAATTTCCAGGCCAAAGCTCTGAGATTTGCGAGATCAATCTACTTGAAACACGTTTTCAACTTGTCTTTTATTTCTCGTAACTCGATCCGAGGCTATATCCGTAGAAAAATCTTTCTTTTACGCCAATTTTTGAATAATACATCGTTTTAGCGACAGGTGATTAAGGCCTTATGACTGTAATAACGCGTTCGAAAATGATTTATCTCCCTAAAGTGACGTAATTTTGAGTAATTTTCGAAACTAGATCATTGCTGTTCATAAAAGTCATTTTTGGACGAAAACGGCTTCTGATCGGTTCACGATAAATAAACAAGTTTAAGTCATTATAGGAAACATAAATGACGAGAGCGTATTTTCCCCCTAATAATATTAATGCTAGGACCGGGAAAAAACACCGGTAAGCACGAGAATCTTACCCCATTCTCTTTCAAATGAGCCGCCTATCGTCGAAGTCTATACTTACAGTTTAATGAAAAATAGTGAAGCGTATATAAATACAAACAATTTTGAAATGGGCATTAGTTTTAGTGTCATTCATGGTGCGTACATATGATATTTCGTTTAATTGCTTTCATAAATAAGAAAGTTGGCATTGCCCATCCGCAAAACATTTTGAAAACGTCCTTAATTTTACTTATAGTTGTAATGTTTACATATAAAGTTTCATTTAAATATCTTCATAAATAAAAAAGTTAGCATTGCACATGCGTTAATCCAAATTTTTGACACTGCGCATGCGCAAAACCAAAAAATATCGGTATGCACGGAATCGTTGGACCAAGCCCTTTCAAATGAGCCCCATATCGCTCAAATCGGTTCAGTGGTGTAGAAGGAGTACGTGTGACGGACGGACGACAGAGTGCAGCCAATAGCGATTTTTCACTTTGAGGAAAATAGGCTAAAAATGAACAGAAAAACACTGCGCATCGTGTACTAGGTGCAGTAGTAGAATAGGTAACTGCTTTAGTGCAATACAGTTTAAAACTTTCGATGGTAACGTAAAGACTGGCTTCCATTTTGGGCCCACTTCAGCAAAGTACATGACGATCCTAGTATAGACTAAAATGATAAAGTTGAGTATTTGCTACGGGCTGTACAGAACAGTAGGGCCGAGCAACTTGTGGAAAGTTTCCCTACTAGTGACCAAGTCTCGTCTCGTCTCGAATTTTCGAGACATGAGTCTCGGCTAGAGTCTCGATGAGACTCGTTTGGTCTCGAAGTTTTTTTTTGTATTTATTTGTACGGGTTTTTCTAAATTTGTATCACGAAAATCCATTCAAGTAACGCGAATTCCAATTGTTTACATAAACATACACATTTACATCGGCCCCATACCATAACGGTAACTTTTCGTAAAGCCAGGAAACCTTCGACCGCATCTTATTTTATTGGCGTTGATTATTAAAGCTGTGCCCCAGGGCTGTACCCTCATCAATAGAAGTATACCTGCAATGGTAATTGTCTATGCTGGATAAACAAGAATTGGTTTTAATAAGTTCTCGCGGATTCTTTTATATTAAAAGCACTTATGCTCTTATTGTGGTTTCACAAATTTATGACAGTAAATCCATTCGTTTGTACGTATACACAATTACATATTTACCGCGTAGTTGGGTTGGGACCATAAGAGTAAGATTTTATACAAAGTAACTTGGTCATATTGTGTTTAAGCAAACACTACCCTCTCAGTCTTTGGTTTAAGTGCCTATTTAAGTAACAAAGAATTCAGTTAGTCTTTTATCTGCAGAGATGAGAATGATAAAAAAATCCTTAAAAGACGCGTAAGTATATAATAAAGAAATTATGTTTCGTGATTAGTGTCCTGCCTTCTTGGTGCTTTTATATGATCTACAAGTCTACACCGTTTTTGGATAGTATGTCGAGATCAAGCGAGACCAGACGAGACGAGACGAGACGAGACTGAAACAGGCCGAGACGAGACTTTGCTTGGTCTCGTCTCGCGGCAACACTATTCCCTACCGTTGGAAAAAATTTATTTTATTTAATTTATTTATTTGCCTTTATTTTTGAGTGGGATGGGTTTCAGCCAAGGCTGCTCGATCAACCCAACCCACTAGACATTTATAACTATCTATGCCCGCACCCGGATTCGAACCAGGAACCCTTAGCATCACAGTCCAGTTTCAACTGAACTGCGCCACACGGGCCGGCTTATCAACAAATTGTTGAATGTTTAAAAACGCGCTTTGGTAGAGAGAACTTGCAAATTTAAATATATGTACGGAATTTTTTCAAGTTGATTAATGATTATAAATAATGTCATATCTATGCGTGTATGAAAAAATATTTGTAGAGAATGCACATTAAAACCTTTTCTTACAAAAATTGCTGCACCATCACCACGACTCAGTTCCTGCAAAAAGTATAAGAATGCTAGTCTACGGTTATCGAGAACAAAAGATGCTACTTCTTCTTCGGAGTACCAGTGTTCACATAAGCACACTCTATTTTCATGCCTATACTTTCTGTCAGGAATTAGGAAATTTTAGTTTCCATGACAGAGGGCAGAGCAGAGTGCGTTTCCTGCCGCTTGTCACTTTACTGGCCGCATCTGTCACTTTACCGGCCGCATTTATGACACTGCCAAATGTCTATAATGACTCCTGTCATCACTGACAGATTGACATCAATCAAAAGTTCTATATGAAAATTGAAATTTTATATTATTTATAAAATACGGTTTCGGGTAGAATTTAATACAAAACTCGTCAGTAAACATCGACATACCTGACTCGGACTCGGACTCGGAAATTAAATATTTCTTCGCCAGTAATGTGTCACTTTCCTGACTTTTATGTAAATAACTACTATTATTGGATCGTCCACATTCGCCGTATTTACCACATGTATCGCCCACTTCCCATAATTCCTCATATAGCGATTTTTCAGGTGTAACAGCGGTAGTCAGGGAAGCGACGCACGAAAGAAACGTTTCTTCATGATAAGGGACTTTCATTATAGATTTGGTTATGCTTGGATATTCAAGTTTGAACAATTAATATAGTAGCAGTGATTCATAAATGAGTTGGTAATCCTAATTATTTCCTCAAGCAATCGAATTTTGCCTCATCTTATTTAAGTTAAGTTTCATATTGTCATTTCTGTTATACGTGAAGATTTATCTTTAGCGACCAACGAAAAAAGGTTTCAAATTAATTTTTAATTTAAATATGTTTAAAAAGGTAAGATTCACCTTTAATACTTTAAATTCCCCTCAAATGAGTTCGCTTTAAGCCTCCTTGAACTTCTTCAGCTTCCATCTTTTTCACGTATTCTTCAATTCTCCACCGAGTTCTCCTCAAACTTTCCCCAGTTTTTATCAAATCAGCTCTGCCAAAGATTTGAACCGAAATGACGTATCATGTTTACATTTATTAAAGCTACATGTTTTATTAGTGTTTAAGATTTGTCTGACATTTATAGCAACTATAAAACGGTACCTATTCATATTCGACTTTAAACATAAAATGCTTCGCTTGTGTAGTCTGTTGCTTAAAGTGAAGGGTTACGCTAAAGATTTTTAATTTGTAGATTGGTACAAACAGGCATTATTGGGTTTGACAAATGAACAGATTGTTTATTAGTTATTTCGCATCAATAAGCACTTAGTGGTTGCTGTGATCAGCTTAGGTCCAAAACTCTCACCACACCTATTTCCTTGCGAAGAGAGCCAAGATCATACTAAAGGCCACCGTAATTAAAAAATCAATACAAATACCACGATTACCGGAATAGATGACGAAGTGAACATGGACCTTTGAATCAGTCGTAGAGGTCTAGGTAAACGCAGACACAGGTTTCAAACTAAACACCTACAACTATATTATTCCCCACACATAAAATTATAAGACGAAGCAAATTTTACTGAGGTGTTAGTTGGTGTTGAGCGGTAACTGTTGAAATAGAAACCAGAAATATTGATTTAGTCATTAATGCACTACCAACACTAAAGGCATTTTCTAGCAAAAGGCTTCCATGTATAACTGGGAGAGTTGCTTGAACCAGGATTTTTCGTTGAATGATAAACTCTTTGCAGTTCGAGACTAGGTTTTCCAATAGATGAAGATATTCCCTGGTCATTGAAGACATCCAAGCGGACTTGTGTTGGTAGACTTTATCAATTTAATTTCAGGCGCAACTGATTCAAATTGCTGTAAAATTTGTGCGATGGAGATACAATCATCTTCAGCACAAAAGAAAGACAATTCACGTTAGCTAAAATTGAGTTACAAACCAAATTCTATAGATTTCTTAATAATGGACGACTTCGTCATCACCAGCCAAAGCACCATTATCCAAGAACCATATATTAAGTTCCGAGAGTAACGTTGTTATCATATCCTAAATTACCATGCAAAATAGCGAGGGACGCAGAGGATCGCCTAGTTGAACACTTCTGACTTCCTCGGACCCATAATAAAGATTCAAAAAGTGGTAATATAATGGTAAAATTTCTAAAACTTATCGTATCATTTCCGATCAACCATATTAAAAGCATTCATCAAGTCAGGGCTACTCCACCAACCCTAACCAACTACGAAATTCGAATTGGTAATTCGGTATTATTCTTTTTCATCGAGTCTCAATCGTATTTTTTCGATTAGCATCGAGATCACCGGAAGAGTCAACGATACTGGTATGTGTGACTTGATGTTCCTTGGGTGTTTCCCGGATTTTGGCAACATTATGACTTTCGACACCTTCCAATTGCCGGGAAAGTGCCGCGTTGTTTTAGTACGTCACCTGTGATAAGGTCGTAGCCAGGATTAAGATTGTTGCGCTCTGGCTAGTTCGGCTGGTGATACTGGTTCAATGGATCGTTGGTCAAGGTTAATTGTCGTGTGCATTTCAGGCTCTGACCCATCATGCAGTTTCTTAGTTCCACTGGGTAATTTGTCGTCTCCGTGATTATATTAGCCGAAGGTTTGGAATTGGTAACAAGTTGTTCCAAATCCAAAGCTAAAGTGTACTTCAACCTACCTGTCACTTAAGATATAATAATCTTCTCTGTTGAGCTCAGTGATTTATTCTCCAATTGCACTCGGAACGCTGCCTATCATGTCTAAATGTCTTTCCCTGAGACCTCGCACGAATTCCTGAAGCGATTGGTAGACACTACACGTGACGCTTAAGTCTAGTAACTGTATTCTGAAGTATTTGGGTGTTTTTGTCAAAACTTTGTATTTTCTTAAAATTGTCTTGAAAACATTCAATAATTATGTTTTGAGTCACAACGTTTTACTAAAGCCATGATGACGCATTCATACAGACGTATATTTTGGATGAACATGAACATTTTGATTTTAGAAACCTGCTGTTGGATCCAAATTCATTGATTGGCGAGTGCTTGTAGCCTATTATACATAACTGAACTAAAGACTGCGTTCCAAAATGTTACCATTTCCAATTTAATTTTAGTAGCTATTGCTGAACGGTTATAAAATGTTTAAGCAGTTTCTACACAGATAAACATTTTTTAAGTCGTATCATATGTAAGTGTAATGTTAAGTTCAATGGATCAAATGAAAATACTTGTGTAAAATGACACTATAAATAAACGACTTTCAAATGTAAACTAACATTAACTAAAATATAGTCTTTAAATACATATTTATTCAATTTTGACGTTTTAACCATGTGCCCAATATTAACTCTCGAGGGTAGATATACCAAGTATTAACTTTCTCAAAAATAAATACGATAGACAGCTAGTGAAGTTGCCCTACCGAGCTCGCTGGTGAATTCCACTTGATTGTATCCCTGTCCGTTATTTTGTATGAAACTTTTTTTCTTAAATCTTGAAATCTCGTAGATGGTAATGGACTGTGCGGAGGAGACGAGTCAAGTTATTGGACAAGTAATAGTCCTCGTTCTGATACTCCATCGCCAAGTCTTATTGTTGGAAGGAATCCATTCAACACATATGCCAGCATTAGTTTTAGCTCTGGAGACGTTTGCCAATCGGCGTACCGTTCTGGTTTACATCATGGCCATTTTGTATAGTATTTTACAATAATTGTTTTAGGATGTAACATAAATTCTTCACGTTCCGAAGATTCGGTACGGCAAATAACCACGGTGCCGTATGTTCGTGTTGTCAAAAGACGGACGACGGCAAATAAGAAAGAGCGACGAAGAACGCAGTCAATTAATAATGCATATGCAGATTTACGGGATTGTATACCAAACGTTCCCGCCGATACAAAATTATCAAAAGTAAGACTAGGTGATTTTTTAAAATTGGTTTGCAGGGTTACTTTTAGATTAAGACGTTGCGACTGGCCACATCCTATATAGCATACCTAACGGCGGTGTTAGAAAATGACGAACCCGCTGGTGGATTTAAGGTGGAATTAAATACGAGCCACAAAAGATCATCTTGTAACACAGTACAGCCCGCCGATTGTTCTCGAGTGATCTCAGAATGTGATATTTCGGTAAGTGCCTTTTTCCGCCACTCGATTATAATTACATTATGCTGAATGCTTCACGTGCCACCCTTCTTGTTATAATCATTTATGGAATTAAGTTATCTGTTTAGGGTTTGAAAATTACTTTTAGGGTGAAGGGTGGTGATTGTAACCGTCAAGTGAAATGCACGTGCCTAATATTGCTCTATTTATAGGAGGTGGATCATAATTATCCATTAAATGGGAGAAACATTATGCTTAATGCAGTTAGTTAGGGTAAACTATTCAATTATAGAGATTGATAAGTTAGGTACGTCATGAGCATAAATTTTAATTTTGGCATACTCCAGACGATATTCTAACAGACCAAATCCATCAATTCGGCGTTTAAGAGATTAGACATTGAGAGTTATTCTAGGATTAGGAATAAGATCAATACCAATAACTTTAAACGAAGAAACTCATTGTGGTTAAGAATCATGTCTTTGCGCTAAGTAAAGGGTGTATTTTTTATAAATCACAAGCTAGGGCTCAAAAACTTTTGAATAAACATGTAAAAAAAACACCTCTCTACACAGACAGATTTTGCAGATATATAGACTAAAGGGTCGAATCAACCTTCCCAATATAATGGTAAAGTTAGCTATGATTACGAAAAGTGAAGATAGGCCAATTATTTTTTTAATTTTTGAGTAGGGTAAAAGGGTAAGAGCTACAGTAGCCAATTTTTATCACTTCTGCCAGAGTTCCGCAGGCTACATTATTTATTTTTAGGTCAATTTAAAACAAGCCGACTTCCTATGAATGTTAGAGCCCAGACTATTATTTTGTGGTAGTGTGTCTCGTGTACCTCTTAATATACTGATAGTAGCGTAATTTTTAGTGCACTTTAACTTTCAAAAAATAAAAAGTGCACTTTTGCGCTCCTTTTATATCTGTCTGTCTGGCTGTTACAGTCTTGTACACTTGGTATGGGTGTCATTCGATCAGAAATTAAAAATTATTTCATGTTTGCCCATAAGAGCTATTAAAATCGACAAAACAAATTTCCAAGTGCACTCTTCTCCTCTTGCTCACAAGCGCTTTAATGAATTTTTTTACTTTTGACAGGTTTTCAAGCAATAATCTTTTAGAAAAGTGCTTTTCCGTTGATGAAAGACAAGTCAGCTACTACTTATTCATTAAGGCTCGAATGTCGGACCACTGATATCACTCACAAAGTTGGATTTCCTCCATTTGCGACTATAGGTCACTATTTGAGTAACATTACACCAAAAAGCATACTGAACTACTAAACGAGTAGGTTCAGCGGTTTCTCAGCCTGATCCTTTTTCTACTGTTGACCTTGTCAATGGAAGCTTTTTGGACTTAAATAAAGAAGATAATGCAGCAAGTGGCGAAATTTGTTGCACTTTCAACAAAACGATGTCGGCTTCCTCCACTTAAATAAAAAAAAAGATTTCTTTCATGAATTTGTCAAGTTTTGTAAACGAGTAACTCTTAAGCTTTCTGAAGGTGATGTTCTCTGCTCCTCAGAAGTTATAGCTAAATATTGCCCCGAAATATGGGATGCGCTTGAATCTAAACACCAACCCATGAATGCACAGTGAGGCAAATTATCCTCCAATTCCTTGGCGACGTTCTTATTGATCTCCGTTTAACATCCTATATAACCACAAAGAAAGCTCTTTCCAGTTTCCTTAGAAGTTCTTGTGGAGGAATTGATTGTGTAAGACCAAGACACCTTTCACATTTAATAACATTGCTAATTCCGCTCCAACACCAACTGTGCAGATGCCGTTCTGGAAGGCAATTTACCGAGATCAATTCTGCCGATATTCTGTGGTGTTTCATTGACGTCCGATAGCATGTAGCAATACTCTCAGACGTATTGTTAGTAAAGTTGCTTGTGCTATAGTTCGTGATCAATCAAGTTCCAAGTTAAGATCGATACAACTAGGGTATAAGAGGAGGGGCAGTATTCAGCTCGAATTTTCTTGGACATTAACAATAATGCACATTTTGTTGTTAAATTTGATTTTGCTAACGCCTTCAATGCATTACGAAGGGATCACTTGCTGTCACCATTTATATGGCAAGCTTATAGATATTCTTCAAAGTTGGTATATGGTGAGAAGATCAATGTGGTGTACAACAGGAAGATCATTGCTATTCAGTTGGTCTATCATAGATTTCATACATTCTTAAAACTCAGACCTGAATCTACGGCATCTAAGTAATGGACGGAGCTGATTTTGCACATGTGTTGAATTCGGCCTCTGTTCGTTACTCTCCACTGTATGAGCACCTGTAGTTGTTACAATTTTTTGATTCTGTAATTGTGTGGAGAAGATAACTATGGTTAAGCAACTCTGCAATGTGATAAATGTAGAATGGGGTAGTTTCGCTTTCCATTATTTATCTATACCAAACAATTATGCAGCTTGTAATTACTTGATATCAAATCAACTCAAGTCAAGTATATTAACTACCCGACTTTCAAGTCAATGGCACTAAAGCGCTACCTTTTACGAAACACTAAAACTAAACGTTCGTGCCACGGCCAAATAAATTGTTCATCACTTCAAATTTCATGATTCTATTGCTTGAAAACCAACTTAAAATTACACTTATATATGTATGTTGCGTAAGGGCATGATACCCATTAATAAGTGAATCCCGGAATGGCCCGTCAAAAGAATTGTGACATTGCACCCTATCATTTGAAATTCACAAGTATTGGGAATAAAAATGCACGTAAACGCACCCAACCAAGTACCAAACTACATAAACATGTAGGTACCTATTTCTCCCTTAATGTTTAAATGTGTGGAACCTAGGAATTTAGATATTTTACTATTTCTCTTTGCCGTAAAACTTTAATCTAAACTCAGGAATAAACTAGTGCGCCCAAAATGAACATCCTGCCATATTTCACGTGGATTATTTACATTAAAATGCCAAAAAAGTTTAAACGATTGCCTACAGGATGAATTTTCATCAAATAATTATTTTTATCGCAAATTTTTGATTACGTAATTTGTTTATTTGTGTTTATATCTGTTTATTTTAGCAAGAAGAAATAGGAAACTGCAGAAGAGCAAAAGGACGTACAGGTTGGCCTCAACACGTGTGGGCTTTAGAATTGAAACAGGAACAAGCTCTTTAACGGGATGTAAATACTCTTTATAATCTGGAAGATGATCCTCGTAGGCGTTTCATTTGTTAGTGAAATTTCCTCTAAAAGTGTATATAATAAGTCTATTTTCAGTTTATGTTAAACATATGGCTCTTTAATGTATACAATTCACCTCACCTTTGGGTTTTGTATACATTTTAATGTACTAGTTTATTTGTTCGATAAGGTGTTATCCGTTGATATATATAAGTAACGTGATTTTCTTCCATACTTGTTTTTTTAATATATGAAAAAGTTACTTGGAATGTTATTTTTGTTTATAAGGTGTTTTTCATAAATACATGTATCTCGCTACATAATCTCTGTTAAATTATAATATGTAATCAGATGCGCAACGCCCCCTGAAATATCAAACGCAATTCCTCCAAATACAAACGCGCAGCTACAGAAAATAAGTAGATATTCATTTTTTAACATTGATTATTTATTTAACCTTAGAGATTTAAGATTATTTAATGTTCTTCTGAATCCAAGGCAGAAAATATTGTACCCTACTATATACACCTGGATATTGCCCTTTACCGCATCCGATGCCCCACGAAACAATTCCCACTTGCACCCATTTTCCATCGTTTACCATAAGAGGTCCTCCACTATCTCCCTAAAATTAGTTCGGTGATATTATCGCGTGCAACTAATTACTAATTACGTACACTACACGAATCCCGATTCGCCTGACCTGCACAAAGCATGTGGTCAGTAATTCCTCCAGGTGCCGCCGGTCCATACTTAGTTCGACAATCATTATTACTCCAGATCGAAATACTTACTTCCTGCAGCACCGACGGTTGTGGACCACCTATTATAGAAAAATTGACTAATTGTGAATTACTGTCGGTGTCGACTTACTTTCACGAATACTACCCCACCCAATCACGGTGGCTGTTTTTCCCGCATGCGAATCGCGAGAACTCTGCGGTAAACAAATTGGACGAACTTGGTGAGTAAAAACTACTGGTGAATCCATAGTCAAAATGGCAACGTCGTTATACTGCAGGAGTAGTTGTTAATAGTACGAATTATCAAGAGCAAGCATTTACCAATGTTCTTGCGTCAAATCCTCTATGACGGACCACCCTTTTTACTTTCCTTTCAATGTGTTTCACCTCACTATCCGTTTTTATATTATGATCTCCTAACCGAACAGTTAATCTTGCAACATCCCAGGAACTCATACTGTAAAAATATATGAATAAATTGTGGTGGTTAGCACGTATATGAATCAAGATTAGTTTCTAAACGGTTCCAAGAAGCAATTTCTCATTTTTGTTGATTGTTATTGCCGTCAGTTTGCACAAGATGGGTTTGGCCAGCATACTTACTGTGCAACACAATGTGCGGCAGAGAGGATATGAATGTTATCAATAAGAGAACCGCCACAAAATTGGCGACCACCATTGAACAAACCGGCTATCCATGGCCATTCTCCCAAATCAGCATTGTGGCCTCCGACGATTCTTTCTTGATCTTGATAACCATTTTTCGCCCCGCACGATGCATCCAAAGGTGGCAAGTGCGTTACGGGAGTGGTTTGTACAGGTTTATATGTTGGTTGATATGTAGGTCGTTGCGTGGCTCCGGTGGGTGGTTTAGGAGGTTTAGGTGCCGGTTGAGTTACGGGTACGGTTGGGAACGGATGCGGATATGGATAGGAGGGTGAAGGTGCGTGAGTGGGTAGTGGCGGTATTGTATGGTGCGGTGGATGAGTAGGAAGTGGTGGATGTGTTGGAGGCCAACTAGCAACCGGAGGATAGTTAGGTTTCTTTACACTGTCTGTATTTTGTACGTTAAGGTTTTCTGATTCGGGAGTAGTTGATGGTTTAGTAGTTGTTGTAGGGTTTTGTTCCGAAGAAGAAGTGCAGCAAACTCCAAACAACTGAAAAGGATAAGGTTAAATAATTGATTCTGTAACCTAAAGACCGTACCTGACGCCCCTGGGCTGTATAAAATCTGCATGTATCGTACATTCCTAATATCCAACTGTCCCAATTATTTAACTCGGGTAGCTTGAAAAAAGGATAACATTGTCGGAACGACATGCATTTCCCTAACACACCTTTACTGGTATAGCAGCGGCTAGTTAAAAGCGAACCCGTAGCCGGATTTCCTATGAAGAGTTGGTCATTGTAAGGCATCAAAGGAACAGACGATATGAGCTGCCTGTTATCACGCGCTGACGAATTCCCCGCAGCTGAAAATAGTTAAGAAGTTTACTATTAGCACATTTTTTGCAATGATTAATTGACTCGCGGTGGGATGCAAAACATGTCGCATATCACTATTATAGTCCGGTCAAACAGGTGAATGTTCTGCACGACCTTGGCAGTGGCCAACAGCTACCGTTGGTGTTTGTATTTATACAAACGACATTTTACACACCTTTGCTAAATCTGTTTACAATTTAACGCTTCACTCTTAAATTATTTGTTATTGTCAATCAGAAAAAATTGCAATACTCAAGTAAGTTACGATTCAAAAAGGTTTGTATATTATCTAAATCTAACAAAAGCAAAATAGGTTCAAAACAAATATCGATCGTTACCTTCAATTACTACAACATCATCTTCATCATTTAAAACGTCACTAGCAACAATATCACAATATAACACAATAAGGTACAAATAAACAAAAATTCTCCTCATCCCCATTTTAAGGGAAGATAAAACATAAAACACGATGGTCGCGCAATGAAGATATTTTCAAAGCCTCGTCTTATAAAACTGATGGTATGCATCTTCCCCCTCTACAATTTACCTGCGATTCTAATTTGCAAGAACCCATCGAAAGATATTGCAAGGATCGATCAAAATGCTAATCTATAAGTAAAACCAAATTAATTAATTCGTGAAATTCACGCTGATTCAACGGCGCGGTTATACCTCAAAATTTTTTTTTTTGCAAAATTTGTAGCACCACAACTAATTAAAACATACTAAATTCTACTGCAATTTTGCTAATTTACTAAAGTATCCATGGATTTGAATGAAAACACGGGACAAATAAAATACGAAAATTGTGTAAAAGATGGAAGATAATCGCCAACAAAATCAGTGATTCGTCATATTTACCGTAACAAAGAATGAAAGTCAAAAAAAAATATAATCAAAATTTCTGATCAGTGGTGGAAAGAATTTAATGACTAATCAGCGTGCCTCTAAACGATAAAATATGGTGTCAACAAACTTATTTAATTACTTTTAGACTGACTTGGAGAAGGGGGGCTGGTTCTGTAGTTCAAAGCTCTGGAAATTATTTCTGGGGTGCAGCCATTGTAGCCGAATGAGTATTGAACAAACATTCAAGGTGAAAAGTAAATTGGGGACATGGTTTTGTTTTGTATTTTATGCTCATCATATTCTCCTGGTGCGTATTGGTAATGTAGATGTCACGATAATATATTACTGTAACAGTATGTATGCTTTTATTTTGGAAAAATTGTTGAAGCCCGCAGATCGCTTCTAACTTTGATGAATATTTTCATTATTTTCGAATAAGGTTTGTGCCATATGATAGTTTGCAAGGAAATAATTTTGGACTGGATTCTCTGAACCCACACCAGGGCTACGTAGAAATCGAACTCGTCTCGAGTGAAAAAAAATTACATCTTGTAAGAATGGATGGAATTCTCAATAGAAGAGATTATTTTCTACAAGAACAGTTATTGGCTTTTACACATTTATGTATTAATGAGTATAATAGTTTAGTGCCTTACAGGAAAAAGTTATGAGATTTGTTTGCCGGCGAAAAATATATCCAGTAAAAATCCACCCATTATGTTCGCCGCCAGAAGTCTTCAGGATATTCGTCCTCCTCCCGAAGCTCGCCTGAACCCCAGGGCCTTTTCCTGAAAAGATCTCGCCGTGATGAGTTTACCTACACAAACATTCAGGGAACGATTTCTAATTTTCTGTTGCGAATTAACCAGCATTGAATTCTCTGTAGGTGAATATTTCCTGGGCTCCAATTTTATGCTGCCTATTATTCCGAAAGGTTCAATTTTTGGAACGAATTGACCGAATGCAAAATGGCCACAATTACTAGAGAACATTAAAATATGTATTTAAGATTTTTTCACTGTTTCGCAAAACTTTTTGGGTGTGTTGGTGTACTACACGTTTCAACCCTTACGTTATCATAGACTCGTCGGCCTCCAAACGTTTCTTAGGCCCACAATATAGAAGATATACAAGTTCGGTGATCAAGAGATCGCTGTGAGGATCTCAAATCTCCGAGGATTTGCAGGGAAGTTTCGGGAGATATCAGCTGTTTAATATAAAACCTACTTCGTAACCAAAACACACTTCGAGGATTCCGATATATGTATAAAGATACACCCGTTAGAAAATCCAAATTCAATTCCAGATATTTCATATTTATTTAAATTTTATGTTAACTTCATCTGTACGTAAACTCTTCCGTTACTGACAGACAACGCACAGTCGAACCTGGGGATTTTAGGGCGCTAATAGAGAATTGCCCGAAATTCCCACGGGAACGGGGAAAAACTGAATTAAGACGGGGGTAGTGTTTATGCGCGTATTAAGTGGCTGGACAAAAGCTAGTTGTTAATAATTCTTCAATTGCACTTCGATTTTTTTGATACATTGGTGTACACCAAATCGTAACACTCCCATTTGTATGATTACATTTATGTACTTTTCTCGTAGAGCAAATGTACCCTACGATGTTTACCTTTTGTTAATAATCACCAATAGAGATTTAATAATACGTTGAGACCTTTAAAAAAATGATGACAATTCTTGATATCAGCATGATCTGCAAGTGCAATAATTTTTTTAAAATATGATACATCTATTGCCTCCAATCCTTTGCGTATGAGTTACAGATCTAGTAGACAAAAGAGTCAGACAATTAAGTTGCAGATGGATCCGTTTCACTGTAACATTTCAGGCAAGTATGCCTGCATTCAGGTGTGTTTCTGGTATTTGTTAGAACCATGAGACTTCTTTCAGTAGCTTTTTGGCCACGTTGCGAAAGTTGGCATTGACGTAGTCAGACGAACAATACTGGATACATTTGACAGGAAATGGAATCTCAAAGATTTACTTTATGAGTTAGAGAAATGTTGAAGTTCAGTTGTACCGACAGCAATGTGGAAAAGTTAAATCGCTACCAGCTACAACTGCTGATGGGTATAACACAAATAAAATAATAAAATTATAGAAGAATGTTTTCAAAACACGAGCAAATCCAGTCACATAAAAAAGATATGCAAATAGACAAACGGTCGTGTAATGGTTTACTACAGGTCAATTTTTCCCTGAAACCTCAATGCTGTAACCACACAGACTACATCGATCACTTTTCTATTATAAGAACAAACACTGTACAATTTAGTACAGTTTACAGCAGAAAGATGGATATCAAAAAAGGCAAATTGGAGTCTTTTTCATCAGAACCTGAATAAATGTAAATGTATGAATACTCCGAATTCTTTTGACGTCGACTCCATCACTAATACAAAGTATGATGCGGCGTCTTCAAGCATCGTCACCTGATTGAATACGTACCGTGGTGGAATCAGGCAGTGAAATCTGCAATCAGAGAGAAGAAGTAAGCCTTGCGTAAATATCAAAGGTATATGGATATGGATATATGTTTGAACGTCGGTCGAATGCGTATCGGCGCTGTGTATTTTGTGGCAAAACTAACGTGAAAGTATTGTTTTTTTAATTGATTTGACGTGATGTTGTGCATGTGGAGACACTACATCTAAATGTGTAAAAAACAGTAGTGTTGTAGCGTGTGGAGCGAACAAAAAGCCAAATTTTATGTTGACCGCAATTATTGAAAGCGATGTATAATATGTAAGTGGTAATCGTAAATTTCCAATTTTGTGGGAATTCCACTGCAAACGTCTACATATCTACTTATAAAGTTGTTTATTTATTTAATCTTGACGTATTTCCAATTTTTATATTTATTGTGCAAACAGAGGTTTAATTAATTATCTACGGCAGTCATGGATCACATTGTTGTAATTAACGAATTACAGCTTGAAATATCATCACTTAAAAAGTACAACTACTCCCTCAAAAGACAGATCGAAGACAACCTCAATGAGAGCACTTCAATGAAGAGTTCACTTACCGAAGAAAATTCCAAACTGCAACTATTTGTTTTTAACCAAAAAATGGAAATCAAAAACCTACGTAAAGAAAACCTTGAGCTTTTAGAAAAACTAGAATCGGAAGTTGTAAAACCAAAGCCTAATGTAAACTGTACACACACAGCAACTCAAACTGTGAAGTATTGTAATGATGTTGCCATCCAAACTGCATATAAATTTGTTTCAAACTCTACTCAAACCGACGTAATCGCTAAAGATACAGGTACTAATGTTTTGAAAAACTCAAAAAAAGTTGTCAACGAGGGAACGCGTGCGATTTCAAATAAGAATGACGTAGCCGTCCAAGTTGTGACACGAGCAAATAAAACTAAAAAGCAATCTACACCTAAACGCAATCGTGACCGGTCTAATTCTTTTGACGCATCTCAAAAAGTAAACGAAGCTCTTTCATCGCTTAATACTGCTTCACAAGTTGTATGTGACAAAGCCGCTAATAAATCGCTGTTTGACGAACTTGTTGGGGCAACTAGCAACCCGATTTCGTCCACTTCCATAATCCATGATCCCACCCCAAGGCTGGTGCCAAAAACTGACCGACGACGACTATCATCGGAGAACGCTCCTTCATCTTCGAAACGAAAAAATGAAATCCTAATTTTGGGTGATAGTCAAGCCAGAGGCATAGGAATATTGCTCCGTGACCTAATGCCGGACGCCAAGTATAACATATCAAACTTTTTCAAACCTAACGCGAGCTTGGATGAAGTACTTGTTAACGTAGAAGAACTGACAAAGCATTTTACATGTGAGGATTATTTAATTGTGATGGGTGGATCCAACGATGCTCTTAAGGGAACCAAAATCGAGACAAGAACAAGAAATTAAGCGGCCTTACTCAGAGACTAAACCTGATATGTATCTCAACTCCTTTTTGGTCAAATAGAGTGGTTTTAAATAAATTCATCTACCAGAACAATACCATGGTTTACAGTGCGCTTAAAAAACACTCGGGACGTTTCATGTATATAGATGTAAATAGCTTATTAAATTCTAGACATTTCACCAAACACGGTTTACACTTAAATAGAATGGGTAAATTGATACTTTTAAGAGAAGTAATTGGTATCTTGAATTCATGTATGGAAACACAGGTCAACGGGCGCGTCACCTACATCAACTATGATAATCTTGTGTATCCAAAACTATTAGTGAGTGCAAAAATTTTTTATAAAAAACTACAACGACAATGTAAATAATAATTCTAAGACAGTTGTTAATAATAGTATAATAGCCACTAAAAAAACCAGAAACGCTCATCTTTGTCTAGGAACGAGTATATCTCTGCTCCATCAGAATATCCAGTGTCTGTCAAATAAATTACTAGATTTAGAACTAATCTCTGCTAAGCATTCACTAGATTTGTTGTTATTTACTGAGCACTGGCAACCTAAAGATAAATTAATGTGTCTAAACATTACTAATTACTCGTTGGTTTCGCAATTTTGCCGTATTTCAATGAAGCATGGGGGAACGGCAATTTACAGCAAAAATGATGTACACGTTACTGCATTCAAATTAAACGTACAACCCTGCGAGGGTCATTTTGAGTTTTGTGCAGTTAAGCTAATTAATCTAAACTGTGTCGTTGTTGCTGCATATAGACCACCAGGTGGAGATGTTGCCATATTCCTTAATTTACTGGAAAATATCTTAGAAGAAATAGTGTCTGTTTCAAAAATTATCTTGTGTGGTGATTTTAATATTAATTTTCTAAATACCGTAAATGTAAATACGACCGCGCTTAATGACCTTTTATACTCTTTTGGTCTAAAAATATTACTCCATGAACCAACGAGGGTTACGCCCACAACAAAAACCTGTCTAGACAACGTTTTCATTTCGGAGTCTATTGCATGTCCCGAACTCACTAATAATTATAAAGAGTCCCATGCTTACTATCAAAAGCAACTGCTTGCATCAAAACAGTTATTCTACGATTCTAAATTAAAGAGCTCTACTAATAAAACTAAAACAATCTGGAATATTATAAACACAGAAACTGGTCGTATTAAATGTAAAGATGTAAAGATCACCGAGGATGGAGCTACTGTATCTGACCCTAAGGCCATTGATATGTTCACCACTCATTTTTCACGTTTTTATAACATTACTAGTCAACCAACTTATAATAGAAACATGCCTTTTTCACCGTCATTTAGTAATTCGATGTTTGTAACACCGATTGTTGATGAAGATCTACGATCTGCGGTTCGGTCATTGAAATCTTCGTTTTCTTGTGGATACGACGAAATTAGTAACAATTTAATAAAATCGGTCAATGTTTTAATATCTAAGCCTCTATGCCACATTATCAATTTAAGTTGTAGCACCGGTATTTTTCTGAGTCGTCTAAAGTAAGGCCACTGTTAAAAAAAGGAAATCCAAGTGACGTCTGCAACTACAGGCCGATCAGCTTGTTGTCCAGATTTTCTAAAGTTTTCGAAATTGTTATTAATAATCAATTAATTAGTTATCTAACAACATTTAAGATCATTAATAACTCTCAACATGGTTTTATAAAAAACAGGTCGACTGACACAGCGCTATGTGAGTATGTTGCCAGAGCTGTAACAGCTGTCGATCGTAGGCTTTTAACCGTAGGTGTTTTTGTTGATTTTTCTGCGGCTTTCGACACTGTTTGCCATGAAAAGTTGATTAGTAAGTTATCCCATTACGGTATTCGAGGAACTATTCTAAAATTGTTTGAATCCTACTTACGGGGCAGATCGCAGCTAGTTGAATTACCTAATGGGCAGCGCGGTGTAGCAACGCCAATTTTGTCAGGAGTCCCGCAAGGATCCATACTGGGTCCTACTTTATTTGTCATTTACAGTAATGATCTCGTACCTTTTGTTAAAGCGAGTGCTGTTGAGGACAGTATCTTTGTTATATGTTACGCTGACGATACAAACATCCTAATAACGGCAAACAGTGCACTAGATTTAAAACAAAAAATTACTCACACGCTAGATCAAATAAATAAGTGGTGCAATGATAATAATTTGATCCTTAATTCCAGTAAAACTGCCGTGATCCCTTTTGGTGCCACAAAAATTGAATCCAATATTTTGAAGTGCTCTGAAACTATTAAAATGCTCGGTCTAACAATAAGCCATGATCTCACCTGGTTTTTTCATATTGATAATGTTTGTAAACTTACACGAAGCTGCTGTTATACACTGAATGCGTTAAAAAAATTATGCAACAAATCCACATTGCTTACTGTGTACTGCTCAAGCTTTCACTCGCACATTCGATAATATAATATTTCAAATTGGGGTGGCAGTGCGCATGTGCAACGGATCCTAGTATTGCAAAAACGAGCTCCTTACCATGTAAAACTCCCTGTACTTAGGATATTTTTTAAAGAGTTAAAAATACTAACGGTAGTTGACACATATATCCTCGAAATATCTTGCTACGCGTTTAAAAACCAATCAAGTTTCATAAATCCCGACACACACGTAAAAAAACTCACTTGTATCCTTGTAGACATAGGACCACACTCTTTCAAAAGAATTTGTTATTCCGAGCGTGCCAAATTTTCAATGCCTTACCGAGCAACATTAAAGAAATTACTTCCTTTTCGAAATTTAGAATAACGCTCAAAAACTTTTTGATGGAGCAGTCATATTACCACTTGAACGAATATCTCGAAAGATGATTTTATTGTTTTATTGTTCATTGTATGCTTTACCTTAACATTATAATTTATGTAAAATATTTATATTTATATTTTACACATGACACATTGTTACGTACGTTCTGTTCTTATACAAGTATATGGAATGTATTTTGTGACAAATAATAAATATGATATGATGATGATATGATATGATTATGGAATGTAATTTCGACTGAACCTCGGCATAGCAGTAGGAGACCGTATAATGTAACCCAATGAGTTGTTTGATACTGCGAATTTGAAATCAGCAAGTATTAAGTTTTTTGATTAAACACAGCCAGTGACATTTCCAGATGAGGTTAGCGTCGACACACATAGCCAGGTATTTCCCTGTTATTTGTAGGTTCATTGTTTAGGAAGAGCTTGTTAAAGTTGAACCAATTGAATTGAAAATTGCGCTCACTAATGCTATTCCCGGCGACTATGGCTGTGGTACCATCATCATACTTTTGCCTGTTGAACGGGTTAGCAGTACCAATAAAATATTACGAACCAAGATTTACCGAAAACAAACATGACAGGGAGCTAAATATGAATTTTGAATGCCCTCAACAGCTTGATTACACTTACCTTTCCACATGATGGAAATGAAAGCAGCAATTAAACATACTAAAGTAACATCAGGGGTATTAGATGCAATTAAAAATGACATGCAGAAAAACCTTCCTGGTCATTTCCTAACTTGTATGCTGTCTATGTACAATGTGGGCAAATAGCTTATATCCCTTACAATGGATAAATCATTGTTCCTATCCTAAAGGCAAGAAAAGATCCTTCTCTCTGGAAGTTATAGACCAATTAGTGTTACCTCTTGTCTGGGCAAACTTTGAGAGAGAATGGTGAATAATCGGCTAATATTGTGGCTTGAGACCTTCTTGTGCTAAGCAGACGGGTTTCCGTCGATATAGGTCCACAAATGCAAATATGGCTTGCGTCTTTTCCCTTTTTGTGTTGGCGATGTCTTGTCGTCGTCGTGCAGCTTCATTACCGTTTCGAGTTGAGTAATATTCTACATGGCTTTTTGTGGGTAAAACCGTGGATAAGCTTGTCGTGGTTAGAGTTTTTTTGCAGTTTTTAGGTACACTTTTTTAAAATCTTCGAGTTTTCGGGATAGTTCACGATAAAAATTAACTGCCTTTTTTCGAAAAATTAGGTTTGGTCTTAGATCCTAGGTTGATCTAAGGGTTTGGTGTAATGTAAGCCATTGTTGTTTTCTATTTTCCTTGCTGTGTGTCTATTAAAGGAAAGCACAATTAATAGATACCAGAATCTAAGGAATTGTTTATGCTTCGTCTGGACAGGTCTCATTTAAGACATGATTCAACCTTTCCTTTGTTGGCAAATATTTCTAACGATTATGAAAGTTTTCTTTATAACTTTCTTTGTCCATATGATCCGAAAGGCAATAACTGTTTTAGGTGTGTTATATTTAATATCACTAGATAATTGTGTATGTTAATAGTTAATAGCATAGTCCCTAAGTGGTAAAACCTCCCCAGGTACAATGGAAACGAGTTTTGGTACATTGACCTGGGATGACGATAATGTAAATTTGTTTATGTTCCTTACTCTAAAAATCGCAGAAAAGACACACTGTATAACAGTCACACGTATCAAGATCTAGGCTTCGGCCTCCATTTTGCTTTGGGCGACTTCCGGTAGTCCGGCGACATCGCGTCGAAGACCATTGAGACCACACGGCGCGGCACACACATACCCCATAAGAAATCTAGACTTCCAGCAACTTCCGTTGTGTATATTCGACATCTAACAGCTCACAATTGACAACTTACATTATCACAACCTGCCAGGTGGATATTATGACCCTTGACACCATTCAACATACATATTTGGGCGAATCTTATAATTAATTTTCAAAAAGGATCCAGTGTTGTGGGGAGCATAAAGAAAACTCTTTTGCAAGCTAAGATTGCACACAACAAAAATTGTATTACGTCCAAAAAACAAGTCTTAAGTTACATAACTACAACATTGCTACGAATAAATGGGTAACTACACTAACTAACTAACTCTATATCAACTACATTTCAGAAGTTTTGGGTCTACCATACTCATTTTTTTTTAAGAAAGAAGAGGGTCAGCTTCGTACTGGGCGCAGTCTGCGTCATCTATAATTTCAAAATGTGTTGATACACGACAAACTTTCCAAGTACTCACCTGGTTGAACCATTGGAACATATTGGCAACATTTTTTCTGTTTCTTGGCAGAGCGTGGGGTGTTTCTTGCACACTTCTTTGTGCGCTCACTTTTTGTAAAACTGAAGTCGGAAGAAGTCACATAATAGGCTCCAACCATTGAAACAACGAATAGCAGGAGAATTACCACTAAAATGATTACATTTTTGGTTTTTATCTCTGTCATCGGATTGCCTGCAAATTTCGAAATTATAAAATATAACCATTGAATCTGGTTCTTCAATGATATAACTAAAAATAATGTGCTCACCTGTAGCATTATGGGAATGGGTGGCAGTTGTATTATTAACCAAAGTTTGATTGCCCATAACAAAATGTAGAAGACAAGCAATTAAACTCATCTTTACCACAAATCTGACTGACATTAAAAACATTTTCACTTTGCAGTAAAACTTTTGAGCAAGTAAATGAACTTAACGGCGTCTTGCAGAAGTACTTATACAAAGTACTCAAAAGTAGAGGGGTAAACTATTTTTTCTATCTTTATTGAACTCATTGTACTTGCATAAGTACATAAGCATTACTGATCACGTGTTAATTGTGTCGATTGGTGCGTTCACCGGTTGGTTCAGAGGAAAAGGAGGGGGAAGGGAGCGTCAGCTTTTCTCCCATGCAGGGTGAAAAAATTGAATTGTACAATTTTGAAAATTTCGTAAGTTCAGCAAACCACCCGTGGGATCTTGAGTTCTTCAAACTTTTCAAAAATGTTCATTGCACCTAAATAGAACATTAAAGAGAAACATATTGAGAAATCTAATATAATTGAGCGAATAACTACAGGAAGCCCGAAAACTTGTTTTCGAAAAAAAAATTGTAGTTCTCCCCGATTCTTAGGATGGGTTGATAATTTGACATTGAGGTATTAGTAATAACGATGGCAGGCATGTTGATATCGAGTTACGCATACCTCCTGATTAGTAAGAACCATTTGTATATATTATAAAACAATAACATGTAACGTATCAATTGTTTACTATACGAATTAAATGCTTGAAATTCCATTTTTCTACACTGAAGGCTTTGGATTGTGTCAGTAAAATCCCTTCAGATGGGCTTTGACGTTTTCAAAAGCATTTGCAAAGCAAATGGATTCCCTCTTTAGTTTGCAATTTAATTTTTAGACCCTTCATAAGTCAAAGCCTTTCAATCTAAATCTTATATTAATATCACTTTTCCTTCTACCGTAATTATCGAAACAGAAGACCACAATCAGCTTGTCGTTTCTTTTTACAATGGTTTGATGACTTTATATTTTTACCAAACGAATCAAGCGTTTGCCACTTTTCATGTTCATGGACAGACAAAGAGACGACACACACCATCGACTCCCCTAAATCGTTTTGTTCTGCCGTTTAATAATAGAGTTTAGGGCCTAATTAAAATGCAAGGGGTTTTCAAAATATAGAGGTATTTCGGCAACCGAAGATATTGTTTTAAATTCCAAAAATTTATTCGCCCTACTGTTTAGATATAGAACCACGAGTCCCAATAGTCCTAGAAGATGGGTTGGTAAATATTTTCCCCAGCCATAGATCCTTGAGGTTACATTCGGAATTCCAATCGAACTCAAAAATTCTAACGAGATACGGTCCCATAGCACCTGAAATACGAAATAGCTTATTAATCTTTTTGTTTCGAGGAACTGCCCACAATTATAGTAAAAACTCCAACGCTATTTTTCTATTTGTTACTGGCAAATGTAAAATCCTCCATCTTTTTCTTATTATCGCCCGCCAAAACCATCTTAGAGAAACTTCCAGCTTTCTTAAGGGGCTACTGGGAACTCCTATCAGACAAATTCTACTAAAAATTGTCAAGAATATTCCTTTAGGTCTTAGAATACGATAAACTCTCCAGAACTCGACCAAACCTCGACAAGGAAAAATTATTTTGTGTTTTCTAATCCGAAAAGTAAAAATCCTATATATTTTATTATCAGGTTCCTTACGGAACCAAGACTTATCAAATAAAAAATTTTTTAACTGTGAGTGATTGTGTGATCCCGCAGTAGAACCAAGTGTCTTATTTGCAGTATTCTATTTTTTTTCTACGCATCACATAATTAACTAAGCAATTAAACATTATCCATTAAAAAATTTTGTTTTTCTGTCCTTCACATATTTTGAAATTTGATTTTAGTATAAATAGTAAGATGATAGAATGCTTCTTCTAGTGTACTCATTTGCAGGTGTCCATGACTCCTCATAATCGTATCGTCTGATTAATTAATCTATTCGCGTAATAATAGTTTTATCAGATTCGTACCAGGTAGATACGTCGTAGCAGTCAGTTAAAGACATCGATTAATCGATATACAAAAATGCGTCATCACTACTTGATAGTGTTTGGGGTCAATCAAATATAATTCATCGCTTAATTTTCTTTGGATTTATTAAACGTTAAGGCCAAAATGTCTAAATAAAACTGCGAATGTTAGTACCTGCTCTTCGTTATGCAATGACATGAAATTGTCTAATTGTATGAAGAAGGTACGAAGATCTGGAAGAGTCACATTCAATATTTTTTAAGGTTATGGTAAAACTGGAAGCTATATATACTAAAATTGTGGCCATCTTCGACTATAATTCAAAATGCTTTTCCGATTTCAACTGTGTAAAGATGATTGGCTTAAATCTCCAGGATAGGAATCAACAGGAGAGACATTGAAGAAATCTCTAGTCTCTAATTTTTGCTGCGAGGGGATACGCTTAGGATTTTGAGGACCCTTAAATGGGAGGAATATTTGCTTTGGTCTTATCTACCACTCAATGGTTTTTACATGCATAGGTACACCTTCTAGACGCCAATAATTTTGAAAATGGTTTTTGTGACTTTCGGCAATGAGCTTAAAGTTTCACTAGCTGACGGTAGGTCGATTGTTCGTTTCAATACATTGTTTATATCAAAACAAGGGGCAAGGGAAAGTTTGATTTTTACTTTTGATGTAGTAGTTCGATCTCCTCAAATCTAGTCCAATCATACAGGTCAAAATTTATAAGAAAAGGCTTCGTACCGGTTGAGCAGTCGTGCTTGGATGGACAATAGATTTTTCCTTCAATGTTGGCAATATATATTCAAGCATTTTTGGGATTCTCGTTCAATGAATGCCAATTTTTTTAGCTAGAGATGAATCTTAACCTTTTAACAACCATGAGAATTTGAAACCTTTCCACTCCGCCATTGGATATTGCATCCCTGGGAAATTTGAATTGTATTTTCAGCGCCATCTGTCAGCGTTAGGTGTATTTAACCGCCGGTGCAGTTAATATAGACACATCTTCATCAATTTTGACAATTGACATCGTTCTCGCGAATTCTTTTTTGACACCTCAATTGTTAATACACAAATTTTTCACGTAACTGCAAGCGTAGAAGACATTAACGTCAAAATGAAAATGCCACCCCAAAAACCGGTCGGTAATGGTTATTATGGGTACGAAGATATACCCCACATTCCCGAAAATGAGGTAGACAACTCTACCTCTCCACCAGGCGAAGCTCCAATTGAACAGGCAACAACAAACAGTGCAGAAAACGACTTTGCAGAGTATTTGTGGATGGAACATGAAGAGGAGTTTGACAAGCAAGTTATGCAGCAGCTGGAAGAAGAAGAACTAATGGAACAATGTATTGAAGCAATGTTGGAAGAAGAGCAGCGTAATTTAACGGACGAGCAAACAGAAAGAATTAATTCGCAAGACGCCCCACCGACCGAGTAAGTTAACATTAGTTTACTCGTTGTTTTGATTTGTTGTTGTAGGGATAATGAGGTTATGAACCTCGTCAATAACTTCCGGCTTGACTTATTCGACGTCACGAAAAGTACGTTAAATCCTCTAGCTGCCGAATTCGTGCCGGATGTGAGAGGCAAGTCACCACCTCCCAACACTGAATGACTACAACATACGGTTAACTTTCATACTACTTAGGTAATGTAGCTGTAAGTTTTTTTTTTCGTTTATGAATCTCAATTAGTTAGGATAGTGATAATGTTGCAGTGTGAAAAGTTGTATTATAAGTAACGAATTTTTATTGATATGTTTTAATTGTTGTTTTCACATTGTAGCCATTTATCACTAAATATATTTATACGTAAATATAATTGTATATGTACTCATTTCGTTATAAAAGCAGCTGCGTTCCTCTTTCAATGTGATCAATCAATTACTTATTACATCACAGCATATTGCAATGTGTGTTTTAATTTGTTGTAATATACCTACTGATGTACGTTCAGTTTGTCAATTTAATGAACTTTGTAAATTATGAACGATTAAACTCTAGTGGTTAAATCGATATTTATTAACATTACATTTTAGGTTCGAAAATGCGATTAGTACTAATGAAAGTAGAGGCGGCGTGCAGCTTCAACTTTATTTACAACCACAGTAGCGTTGAAAGTGTTCGCCGTTGCCATTGGAAACAGGTACACCCCAGTTGAGCAGTAAATTAAAAAATCAGCCTTCTCGTTGTGTTAATAACTAATTTTAAGGTATTGGTGATAGTAAGTATTACACCCTTTCGAAAACGTCATCAAAGGAGTGTTTATGTTGTATAATAATCCTTTAATTGTCTTATTTGGTGCAGGTGAGGGACTAATTATGCGCACTATCGCCAACTCATGGCCAGTTTAGGGATTGTTATTTTGGAGGAAGTGTTTATTTAATAAATTGAATGTTTATTTTGGTAATTTTATGAATATTTAAAAGTTGAGCACTGTATTTGCATGTCATTAAAGTCGGAAGCTATAGCAAGTTTTAATTGAGGTTCCTTGAACTGTCAAGTTCTCGACCACCTCATTACAGCAGCTATATGCCTAAAACGCCTTTTGTCTTAGGTATAAGATTGTCGATCCTCTTTGTTCCTACAGGTTAAAGTCTAGGTCTGTCAAACCTGACTACTGTAAATGAAAAGGATTCGGACAGTTTAATTGCTTAGATGGTTTTGCAGATCCTTAGATATGGAATCTAATAGCATTTTGTTGTTGAGCTACCTCCAATCCAGAGTAGATTGAAGGGGGATTAATTTAATTTGAGCATCCTACGTAAGATATCTCGGGCATCGCATTCCGGAAAAAAGTAGCATTTTTTATAATATTTCAGAATTTACATACGTAAATATAATACCTACTACATATTTATAAATACTGCAGTTGCCAACCAGCTTCATGTAATAGGGTAAATTCTCCTAGGGGGGATTAACTGATCGTTAGGCACTTAGGATATGATAATATATATAAACTCTAAATACTTACAACATATTAGTTAAAGCACATGGCTATTTTTTATTGTAATAAAACTAGTTAATAATAATAATATATATTCTTCCTCTCCTATTGCTTGAGGCATCTCAGTAATAAGGTATTCAAAGTCAATGAAATTTTCTCCCACACCTGCATTGAAGTCATCATTTCATCAAGCTGTTGTTCTTATTCTACTACGTCAAATTAAAAAATCAAACTTAAAATACTAATATAGATCCATAGGCCATAACTAGAATATATAATATATGCTATATAGCTCAGGGGTAGACAAAGTGCGGACTATTATTTAATAATTACAATTTACATTTATATGTACAAAGAGACTCTTTTAGGAGAATAGGTACTGTACAATTTACCTATGTACCATTTAAGTGGACCACATCAAAGCATTAGATAAATCTGTTAACAAATGGGAGTTATTTAGAGTTTGACATTTTTAGTGCATGCCCACAAACAAATAAATGTTGGTGAATGGCTACAATCTGGTAATGGTTTAAGAAACGTGCGTGGCATGTGATAAATTTAAATTTTCTGAATATGTACCACCTCTCACCAACTTGAGAAAATGGGTACATCGACAATTGATGACATAGATGAATGTATATAATTTTACGTTTTTGTATGGAATAAAATCTCATATCTTTTGTAAGTGTACTCGTGTTTAATTCAGAGATTACAATAAAGTAAGTACCAAAATTTGAGTGGCATTGGTCAGTAGTTCCTGTTTTAAGTCCCCTAAACTAATAATACGACCTGTATCGCTTTTACATCCATATCTAAACAATGGAAGGAGATAAAAATTGTCTTTATCCCAAAACCTGGCAAAGGTGATTACACCTGTAGCATATCGCCCAATCAGTGTGATGTCTTATTTCTTCTTAAGACCGGCCAGTGAGGCAAACTTATCAGCTTTCTCATTATCTTCCTTTCCAGTATGCCCTTTGACCCATGTGAGCTCGAGGGTGGTGCTGCTTGCTACTTGCTCTAGTACATGGTGACCAATCTAGAGGTAATTTTACAGTGACCAAGTCTCTGTAGGCAGCTCTGTTCGTCACTGAAGATTCTGATAGTTTTGTTCTTTATGT